CCACAATCACACAAAATGCCAGAGGCGACCCCAGAGCCCCGGGCGCCGGGCCTGCCGGGCGAGTCTTTCCAGGTCACCACGGGGGAGCCGACCAGAGTGTGTCCTAGTGAAAACCCATCCCGCCGCCTCCTCCCACCGACGGCCCTTAGAGCTACGCGTTGCAGGTTTGGGGTAATGTCTTCCTCTTTTCTACTGGGTCATACACCCTGTAGGCGAGGGTCACGCCTCATCATGATTTACTTCCATGTGCCCAGTAGACGACGATACACGCCTGCTGGCCTGAGACAACAGCAGAGGCTCATGACTTAGCCGGCAGGGCTTCCCTCCTCCCGGTGCTGGTGTGACACCAGGGCATGTGGCCTAGCAGCCAGGAGGCCCGGGCAAGAGAGGAAACAGCAGCTCACTCGCCGAGGACTTAAACATCTTGCCGGCGTCATCACTCCACGCAGCAGCTGCTTCCTACTTGCAACCGAGGCCTCTGCGCACCTCGGGTTTCATCAGCATCAACGAGCCACCTGCTTCCTGAGAGCGGCTCAGGGAGGTGCTATTTATACCCCTGCCCTCCGGCAGCCACGGCCAAAGGTGAAGGTCACTCGCTGCCCGAGAAGAGACAGACTGCCCGGCCGCCCTCTCCGCGGAGGCAGCCCCCAGCCACTCAGGCACTCAGCTCTGCCGCCCGCCTCCAGCCGCACCAGGACCACAGTGCCTCACTCCAATGCCCTCCAGCACCACAAGACTCACTTATCCCATCTTTCACGCTCAAGGTTAAAATCCTGGACCACGGCTTTGGGAAGGCACCATACACCTGGCGCGCTTCTCTTGTCAATCCGCTTTCCCAAAGCCTCCGTCTGGGAGGGGTCTCATCGCCGCTGCACAAAACTCACCTCCTCACTCATTGTGTGTGTTAATCCTCACAGGAGGATACCTTTCCCGTTGCTTTTCAGAGAGAGTGGAAGGGAGGGAGGGGGCGGGGCAGAGAGAGAGAAACACCAATGGGAGAGAGACACATTGACTGGTTGCCTCTCAAAGCTGCTCCCACCAGGGCCAGGGAGCCACCCGCAACTAACCAGGTACGTGTCCTTGACTGGGAATTGAACCTGCGGCCCTTTGATGCATGGTCTGGCACTCTGACCACTGAGCCACACTGGCCAGGACCATACACACCATGCTTATTCATCTCGGGTTTCCATCCTGCGTTTTTTTTTTTTTGTTGTTGTTGTTGTTTTTTGTTTTTTATTTTGGTAGAAACCCAGCTCCTAAATCTAGGAAAAGTGTACCTGTCTTCCCTGGCCCAGCTGGAGCTGCTCTTCCTCCCAGAGCGGCCTGGCCTCCCACTGCCCTGCCAACCCCTCTCTGCCTCCTGCAGCCGGATGACTCCCAGCCACCCAGGGCCTGCAGGGAGGCCACGCTGTGCTGTGGGTGCTGCCTCTGAGGTGCCTCAGCTCTCCAACAGAACTACAAGCCCCTGGTGCACAGAGCCCGTGTCCCTTCCCCTCCCTGTCTCTCGACCCCCGCCCCGCCCCTCGCCGCCCACTGGTGAGGCCCAGTATGAGTTTCTAAGGAGCAGCAGGCACACAGTCATGCTGTTTCCCGAGCGTTTTCCTGACAGCTCCATCCCTCAGAGCTACCAGAGCTATGTCCTGCTTCTCATGTTCCTGAAGGTTTTGCAAAGGGCAGAGCTGGGCACAGGCTCGCTCCTCCCGTCAGCTGCCAGGGCAGGGCTGCAGGGAACATCTTAGGTAGCAGCGTTACCTTGACAACCAGAAAGCTTTCCATAACCTCCCACCTGCTTGCACTGAACT